ATATCATTTTTAATTTGGAAGTTACAAATAATACTTAATAAAAGTTTGAAGCAATATTAACAAAGAAGTATTAAGTCAGAAAAAGCATTGATTGTGTTGTTTTAAGTTTATCATTTGTACTTTTGCAAAAGTAAGCAATAACGGAGTTATTTTTTATCGGCATTGATTTTACTTGTCATATTTTTTTAAAACTAACTAGAGATGTAATTAGTTTAAACAAATAATTTAAATTAGTTTGATAAATTCTTTTTTATTGATTAAATTTAGCCCATCCAATAACGCGGTGATTTTCGTAAACATTTGAGGGAAGGCTTTAACTGAATTCTTTGAGATTTTTAATTGGAACATCGATTTCAAATTCTAATACTAAAACCTGTTTAATAAAAATGCATTTTTATCAATAAATATGTTACTGTAAATGACAGAAATTCGTGGTTGTTGACTTCCACCTGATGAATGTTGACAATCACATAGTCACTTTGGTAAATGTGCGAAATGTATACTAGGTCTAGTTAAGTGCCACTACCAGGTATATATTTGCCCGGTATACCCTACACTGATGTTTTTTTAAGGTTCCGTCCCACTGCCCGGTACTCTTAACACTTATGTTTCTCCTAACCTATCTTCAACACATATTAAAATATCAAATAAATATAATATCAACAAATAAATTAATATCAAATCGGATGTAACAAATATTTCGGACATTCACCAGAGCAACTATGTGATTGTTAACATTCACCGGTGTAAGTCGACTTTCTCTTGATTTCGATCATCCACGGCACGGTAACATAGGACAGAAACTGTAGCCCATATAACAAAAACTTATTATAAATAGGAATTGTACTTACTTCTCGTGTTTGCAGTTGTGTTCGGTACTACTTTGACAAAAGGATTGATTCAACAACTTCGATCTCCTGTGAAACAACAAATCAATCAGATATTACAAATATTTCGGACATTCACCAGAGCAACTATGTGATTTTTGACATTCACCGGTGTAAGTCGACTTTCTCTTGATTTCGATCATCCACTGCACGGTAACATAGATAATTAGGACAGAAACTGTAGCCCATATAACAAAAACTAATTATAAATAGGGATTGTACTTACTTCTCGTGCTTGCAGTTGTGCTCTGTACTACTTTGACAAGGATTGATACAACAACTTCGATTGGATATTGCAAATATTTTGTACATTCACCAGAGCGACTATGCGATTACTGACATTCATCGGTGAATGTCAGCATTCTCTTGATTTCTGTCATTCACGGAAGCATATATATCTATATACATTGTTTTTACTTTACGTATTATTGTATGACGTATATTTTATTTTATACATTTAGCTCAATTAACTAGTTTACGAGGATTGCTGCTAAATTTATATTTTTAGGATTTATGTTGCATTTCGTTTATAAAAAACTTCATTTCATACTTTGGCATTATTTCATACATAATCCTTTATTATACCTACTATTCGTTTCTACATACTATTCCCGCATATTTTACATCATGCATTACCATTACATCTTAAAAGATAAATATCCATCTCAAAAACTCGTTATTTCATATATTCTCATTTTTGCATTTTTTTTAAATACATAACATATTTTACTCCATTTGTTTGTTCTTTACATGGTAGCCATTATTTCATGTATTTATCTCATATATACTGCCATTATTCCATAAATTTATTCCGTACATAAGTTACACATTATTCCATATATTACTCCCTATCCTATGACCATTTATCTTTAAAAGTATTCTCATGGCATACAAAACTGGAATCTGTCTTCGAAGAATTTATATAAAATAAAAAAAAATATCAACCGATAAAAGATAACAAACCTCTCGAGGCTGTTGAGGAAGAAACTCCATTTATTTTTCCTAACCCGAAGCGTAACAAGAATTGAGAGTCTTTAAGTTTGTTGTCGAAATTTTATGGCAAAATTGTCCCCCTAGCAATGGAGTATTTTAGGAAAAACTACAAACAAAACGGTTTGTTCTATTCTTGTTTCTGTTCTTTTCTCAGAACTAACTGCAGTATATAAATGTCAACTGAAAAAACTGTTTATTTGATCTGTAGCAATTAAAGATCGACACATTATTTGTACGCCTCTTCTTTGATATATTTGGTCTAGTTCATAATTTTGGAAAATTTTGTAAAAATGGTACTTTTTGAAATTTTTTTCCGCATTAGGCTTTATCTGATGTTTCAAAGATAGACAGTTTTTTTTGTATTACTTTTTCACTGTTTTGATTGGGATTTAAGTACTGTATTATAATTATAAATGTTTCAACTGAAAAAACTGTTTATTTGATCTATAGCAATTCAAGATAGACACATTATTTGCACGCCTCTTCTTTGATATATTTGGTTTAGTTCGAAATTTATAAAAGTTTCGTAAAAATGGTACTTTTTGAAAAAATTTTCAGCATTTGACTTTATCTGATGTTTCAAAAATAAACAGTTTATTTTGTATTGCTTTTTCATTGTTCGGATTGGGATTTCTGTACTGTATTGTAATTATAAAGTATTCAACTGAAAAAACTGTTTATGGGATCTATAGCAATCAAAGGTAGACACATTATTTGAACGCCTCAACTTTGATGTATTTTGTTTAGTTCATAACTATGGAGAGTTTTGAAAATATGGTACTTTTTGAAAATATTTTCCGCATTAGGCTTCATCTGATGTTTCAAAGATAAACAGCTTATTTTTTTTCACTTTTTCACTACTTTGATTGGGATTTCTGTACTGTATTATAATTGTAACTAAATCAATATTTATTTCTAAATATATTGTTGTAGTTAGCACTAACGTAGATAATCAACGTTTTTTTCGAAGTTTCTCTGAATATTATACCGTAATAATTTTATTCTTGTTTTGTTTATTTTTTTTTGTAGGTAACCAAAGTAAATAAAATATCGATTTTATTCCTTAAATTGCGATGGGCATTTTAGTACTTATTTGAGTTGTACGCTAATCGTTCTATTGATTGTATTGTGCTGTTGATTGATTGCTATTGATTGTACAATATCTATTATTTTATTTTATAACCGTCGTTAAACAGCCGACCCAATTTTTTGATTTACGACTGCTAATCTTTAACTCCGTAGCCTTGTAATTATGAACTCAATCCAGAAGGCAAGAGAAATCCTGAATCAAATATTGGGAGGAATTTTGCCTTCGTGGAGGGCTTTTAGATGGAACTAACCCACATTTGCATTACATGGAGAGGGAAACCACGAAAACCTTCTACGGTTAACCTGACAGCGAGGGGACTTTAACCCATGATCCGTCAACCACTGAGGGTATTTTAATTCAGCACTGTGGTCGGTGCGACCCGGGTGTGGAATTCGTATCAACCTGGGATTCGAACTTCACCTTATTGGAAGGCGTACATTCTACCCCCTGAGCCACCACGACTCAATATCTATTATCGTGTTCCCGTTCTTATAATCCACCAAAAAATATGCCGAACTGTAGCAACGTTTTGAATCTATTCATAAGCAGATTCAATATGAACTCAATATAAAAACAGAGCTTTATTTTTAGTTCGTTAGGAAAACGTAGCAGAAAAAGAAGATAAAAAAAACAGCTCGATGAAAGTCTCAAGACACGTGTGGCTCTCCTAGTTTTTAAAAGCTAATTATTTCACGAATTATAACTGAACTGATAATTAAACGAAAACTAAACTGATATACAAATCGCGTTGCATAAATTCGGGAACCACCAAGATCTTTTTAGCTTCGAAACTACGTAAGTAATTAGTTTTCTAGCTGATGAAGTTCGATGAATTTTTCTCTTGTCTTGAATTATTAAAAAGAATCAAGAAAGAAAAAATCAAGCTGCTATTCTTCCTTCTTTTATGGCATTATGTGTAGTTGTATTCGTCGCAAAAAGAATCTGTAATAGTTTGTTCCATAAAGTTATTTTAGCTGAAAGTAGCTGAAGCAGCTATAATGTGGATGAAATATAGCTGAAACTGCTATTTCTCGCAATCAGCAACAATTACTCATACCCAGGGACAGCGATATACATTCGCACTTGTCCAAATGCTATAGAATTGTAATCTTGGAAGTATTGGCGAATGATTTTTTCCCACTGGAAAGAAATTAAAATGATTTTTTTTAAACAAATCAGTAATTGGCAAATTTTAAACAATTCTTTTTCAAAACAAATCGAAAATTGGCGAATACTTTTGATATTTGGCTAATTTACTGGCTAATGATTTGAAATCCTTATGGCTGGCCCTTTGTCCTGCATACCCAATGCTGTGCCAAACAAACGAAGCTATAAACCAGTGGTTACCAACTGCATCCGGCGCACGAAGACTTTTTTTGTGGCCCGTGAACTAAAATATATTAGTTGTCATTTTTTTTTTTGCGGACAATTTTGGTAAAAAATTTACATGGGTTTTAAATACTTTTAAGTTTTATATATCTTGACAATTTGATATCTGTTGCACATTAATTTTTTAATACATAGGTGCGCAATTAAAGTTATTGTAGCCAGAATTTTTTAATATGCAATTAAATATTTACTTCTACTTCTTATTTTAATTTGTAATTCAATACTTTTGTTTTGTACATTTTGATAAAAATCTGACAGTAATATTTAATGTTAGTTTCAATCATAAAAGAGTCCAATATAAAATTTTGATAAAGTTGCGGCCCGCCATTTGACTGGTGTTTTTAATAGCGGCCCCCACCCTCATGTAAGTTGGAAACCCCTGCTATAAACTGATTCCATAGAGCACTAATTCTATTGTAAACTAACTCTGAATATTACTATAGGGTGCTTGAAATAGTAGTATGTTTTTGTATTGTAAATAAGTACTTATAGTCATTTCTCTTCAATTACACATTGCATTTCGTAGTTTCTAATAGTTTGCAGTAAGTAAAGTTGTTCGAGAGTGTTTTGTGACTACCATTTTTTTTTATCGTTATAAATATTTTTTATGTTTATAATATATTGCTTATTTTCTTTTTCAGAAATGTGCAGATGCAGCAGATAAGGATGACATTGCGAACAAAGATTATAGATATCATTTTGCCAGAACTTATCCTCCTAACACGAAGGTAAGCCGTAAGCTGTTAAGATTAACGCAGATTAAACGTCCTTGCGTTTAGGCAGAAAGAAGAAAATTTTTTCGAAACAATTTTTACTCCGTAGTTTTGAGGAAAATGAAAATGCATAAACATGTCCTTAGATTTAAAACCTAGATAAAGTTAAGAGTTAATGTTAAGAGGGGATGTTAAGAGATAATGTTAATGTATTTTTAGACCCACTGGAACGGGAAAGCGAGGAAGGGCGCGGTTGAGATGGGGTGTCTCGGTGGACTCAAGAAAAATTCGTGATGGTACCATCAAAAGATTTTGATGGAGTATGTTAGTATCAGTAAGTTTGTTGATGGTCTAAAGTTTGTTGATGGTCACCGTCGAACAACAATTCCAATCTAGTTTTGTTGTGTTATGATGGTAAACCAACCAGTTATGTTTGATGGACCAATATAAACCATCATATTTTGATGGCAGATTGTCGGACCAACAACAACCATCAAAATATGATAAAAGATGCTGTATAGCTATTTTGATGGTCTACCAACAAGTTTTGTTTATTAATGTTAGACCAACGATAACCATTAAAATATACTGGTTATATTGTTTTACTATTATAATAGTTCAACCATCATGTTACGTTTAGTATTGTTAGACCGACAGCAACCATCAAATTAAGATGAAACATGTTGTTTTACTAGTAGGATGTTTCAACCATCGCGTTATGTTTGTTGTTGTTGGACCAATAACAACCATCAAAATATGATAAAAGATTCTGTATAGCTATTTTGATGGTCTACCAACAAGTTTTGTTTATTAATGTTGAACCAACAATAACCATTAAAATATACTGGTTATATTGTTTTACTATTATAATAGTTCAACCATCATGTTACGTTTAGTATTGTTAGACCAACAGCAACCATCAAATTAAGATGAAACATGTTGTTTTACTAGTAGGATGTTTCAACCATCGTGTTATGTTTGTTGTTGTTGGACCAACAACAACCATCAAAATATGATAAAAGATGCTGTATAGCTACTTTGATGGTCTACCAACAAGTTTTGTTTATTAATGTTAGACCAACGATAACCATTAAAATATACTGGAAGATATTGTTTTACTGTTATAATAGTTCATCCATCATGTTATGTTTAGTATTGCTAGACCAACAGCAACCATCAAATTAAGATGAAACATGTTGTTTTACTAGTAGGATGTTTCAACCATCGTGTTATGTTTGTTGTTGTTGGACCAATAACAACCATCAATATAAGATGGAAGATGCAATGAATGAAAAAAATTGGAGATCTAAGATATATCGGAAGTCGTTATGGGGAAATCTTCAAAGGTAGGCATTGGCCCACTTTGAGCTGTCTGGCCAACTACGATGATGATGAATGTCAAGTGATAGTGAATGATGTAGAAATATACTACAAATACCTATTGAGTATTTATATCGACGCGTGTGATTTCTAACTATAAGCCTTCCTTTTTTTCTTCTTTTTAATAAATACAGTTGCAATGAATTTATATTAACTATAAAACTAACTAAAAAACTAGTTTTTTAGCAATTTTGGTTAAAACGGCAAGTAAAACTTTTTAAAAATTCTAATTCATAATAAAAACGGCTATCTCTTTTCGCATTTACTTTTTATGAGCATTCGAATTCAGAATAAGTCAACTGGATATCTCATTTTTATCCCAAACCTTTTTTCTTTTGTACTAAAGATTATATTGTTTAATAATAATAACGAAAAATGAAATAGATCTATATGAAAAAGTTTCGAATGGGTTGGCTTTATTTTTCGTGCCATATTCTTATTTATTTATTTATTTAATGAAACTAAACGTTTTGATGGGGAAGAAAAACTGAGAAGAAGAAAAAATGACATGTATTGTGTTAAAATGCTCTTTAAAAGAGATTACTGTAATAGCTCCCGTTATTTTTGTTAATTAAATTCATTGCAACTTTATTTATTAAACAGAAGGAAAAAAAGAGCAATTCTCTCTTTAAAGTGTTCTGAAAAGAAGGCTTATAGTTAGAAATCGCATGCTTCGATTAAAATACTCATTAAGTTAAAATTTGCAGTATATTTCTACATCATTCACTATCTCTTAAAAAGGAAACATTATATAGGCTTTAAATCTGAAGACATAACTTTATTTTCCTAAAAAGCATGGGAAAAATTTCTTTTAGCGAAATTTATTCTTTCTATCAAGACATAACGACGTTTAATCTGCTTTTGTTTTTATTTAATGAAACTAAACATTTTGAGGGCGCAAACTGGGATTTTTTTGTAATGTAAAGAAAAAAATTGATATGTATTGATTGATCTGATTGATGTTCAACTAATTTTTGGTGTTTGAAAGTTAAATGATTTTAGAGTTGAATCATAAGTTAAGCGTTTCTACAAACGAAATTTTCATTTAAGAGTAAACTTTAAGCCTCTATTTCAAAAAATGTTTTGAAAACGCTCAATTTTGCACTAGAAATTGGCTAAGAAATTACAAATGAAACATTATTGTTATCTATAGGCAAAATGGGTCTTGTTTTGGATTTGATGGCGTCCACACACTTTTCAACTGTGTTCAAGAGTAATAGTAAACAGTGCGCATGCGTCGTCAGTGCATGCGTTGCTATGGCGACCGCTGCTGTTTTTATTTTTATTTTCACTAGCAGGCATTTTTAATGTATTTACATAATAATAACTTAAAGTATTTTTATATTCTTTTTATAATTAACGTATAATTGCTAACTTGACGGTGATTTCACTATAAATGTGAATGCTGAGAAAGGAAAAGGATTTTGTGACGTCTTGAAACACGTACATGGGCAGGATATGAAAAACCAATCCGACGACAAACATCAATGGAGACAGTTTTTGCAACCCATGATTTAAAATCTTGTGTCGTTTAACGGAGTCAATCCAAAGAGAAAAGCACTTGACCAAATGGGTAACCAGTGATCGTAATAAGGTGACCACAACTTTTTATTTTTTATTTTTAACATTTTTTAATGTTAATTTGTTTACGACTATAGGTATTATATAAATACCCCAAAATCATTCAGAGATAAAAAAAAAATAAATAAATAAACATCTTATTTGCAGCCTCCAGATGAGATGTTAAAGGTGCTTCCGTCGAGTTGGAGTCGAACAGCGACGTCTTTTATACAGCCTACATTCTTAAGTACAGCCCCTATTACTGCAGCCCTTCTGCAATAACCGTTTGCTGTTCCATCGACACAATAATATTTTACCCCCATTTAGAACCATTCATTTCAAAACAGTAACTTCATATTCTTTTTAAAACGTGTATTTTGTTGCAATTTTGGGTCAAGCTAAAACTATCTTATATTTTAATGAAACATGTGTGATAATATTTTTATATGAAGAGGAAATCAGCTGAAGGTTGTTTGCTTATGAATGAATAATATAAGATTACTAATTCCGTGAATCGAATTAAAGATATTTGCTTAGGTTATTTGATCTTATCAATTGTTAAAACACAAGTTGCTGTCTGTCAGGGTTTAGCTTAAAAAGTTGATGGTTCCACAATAATATTTTGCACCCATTCAGAACCGTTCATTTCAAAACAGTGACTTCATATTCTTTTTAAAACGAGTATTTTGTTCAAATTTTGGGTCAAGCTAAAACTATCTTATATTTTTATGAAACATGTGTGATAATATTTTTATATGAAGCGAAAATCAGCTGAAGGTTGTTTGCTTATGAATGAATAACATAAGTTTACTAATTCCATGAATCGAATTAAAGATATTTGCTTAGGTTATTTGATTTTATCAATTGTTAAAACACATGTTGCTGTCTGTCAGGGTTTAGATTAAAAAAATTATGGTTCCAAACATATTTTAAATCCCATAAACTAAATATTTTAAATTCAAAATATTTATCAATTTAAATATAAACTTAGCTATTCGTAATTTATTAATCTTATGCTGCTAAACAATTACGATTAATAAGTTTCAACTATTGTTAAAAATTCTAAACCAATTTAAATAGAAGAAGAAAGATTCATCAATGCTGAATTTTATTCAGTTTTCTTAAATAATAAGTAGAATCAAGTTGAATAGCTAGTAAAGTTTATTTTTTAAGCCATAAGTGTGTACTGAATCAATTTTGTTATTATCAATTTAATTAGTATAAATTTTAAAGATATCGATAATCAATAACTTATATATCTCTATGATTTCATTTAAATTAACAGAGGTATTGAAACAACTTTAAGTAAATAAGTTTTATCAAGTTGAAAACTAGTAAAGTTTAATTTTTAAACTTTAAGTATGTACTGAATGAAATTTTTTATTATCAATTCAGTTTAATTAAAATAAATTCTTAAGTTTAATCAAGTTGAATAACTGGTAAAGTTTATTTTTTTAAACTATAAGTATGTACTGAATTAATTTTATTATTATGAATTCAATTTAATTAAAATAAATTTTAATAATATAATCAGTAACCTATATATCTATATGATTTCATTTAAATTGACAGATGTATTTAAACAACTTTAAATAAATAAGTTTTGTATTCATTACTGGTGAAACTGTTTTCTTGAAGATAAATACTGAAAAAAAACGACAGGTTTTCCTTACAAAAGGGCTTACGTAGTTTAAATAATTTACATCAAATTTTGTTTGCACTGCACGTACAAAAAAACACTTTTTTTCCCTAAACTTTAGATTGCATACTTAACGAGAATCTGTATTCTCCGTATAAGGATAAAAATAAAATTTTAATGTGAAAGATTTCTTCAAAATCTCTTGTTTCAATGCAAAAAGAGTTCCAGATCTTCCATTTTTCTTACAAAGTTTGCTGATGGAACCCATATTTGCAGAGCTTGAAGGATTTAGCACAAATATTCTTTTCCTCCGTTTAAATCTCTTTACAACAAAAATATATCATATTACTCTTTTTTACATCTTTTCTAATGTTTGTTCAAAGATTTAGAGTTAAAAAAATGAGTGGGATGGTTGTAAAATAAAAGAAAATTGTAT